AAAAAAAGTATTTATTTGAATATCTCTCGCAAAAAGTAAAATGAACTGAACTTTGAACTAGTTCAGAATGAAAATTGTGAACTTTGAACGTGAACTGTTCACTTTGAGCATGTATGAACTGAACTTGAACTAGTTCAGAAAAGTTGTAAACTGGCACAACACTGATGAATTGTACGCAAATGACAGGGAATTTACACAGTATGCGTTAACAGCACGTACGCGTTCACTGCGCGTAATATTATTTGGGTGTACACTGGCCGTGCGCGCAGGTCCGCGGCTTCTGATGCTGTCCTTGTGTAGTCTATGGAGAAGTGTAGAAGACAGTACGGGCCAGAGGAAGTCCAGAATCTCTGTAAAACCTGCCAGTCCTCCTGCTAATGTTTAGATACAAGTGCTGTGTGTGTGTAGATGCGATCTAAAGCCAAGGGTCACTATAAAAATCATTTTTCACATGTGTTTTCAATGGGAGACGCGTTGCTGCGCGCACACAATTAGAACTCCATCCTAAAATAGGCGCAGCCTCGCGTCCATACGTCCGTCATACGCGCGTATAACACTAGTAGTGTTGATATCCCCATTGGTTCACATGTAAAAATGTTACACGCGTCTGCTGCGCGTATAACGCGTACGTGTTGTAATGCCTCCTGTGTAAATTAGCAGTGAGCCTAAACGTAAACAAATGCATAATGTGGTTTGCAAATTGGAAACATCTGGAGCTTGTGATACTCAAAGCTTTTTTTCCCCAGTATTATAAAGTTATGTTTATGCACATAATTTCATTGCCAGAAGTGGTCAAACTTGACACATTACAAATTCATCATGGAGAGTTGTGTTCAAAAAAAGAGGAAAGGGGGAACTACATTGCTTTTTAGGATTCCTCATAGCTGGTGGTTGGGATCCTCCTGAGATTTATGTTAAAGGCCATATCTGCTCCTTCCTGATTCACAAGAGGACGTACGTCCGATTTGGACGAAGAGCACAAGTTTGAGAATTTGGCATTTTTCTGGACTCAGTCTTCATTTTCTAATGGACCTTCACTTCATCCCTTTGCAGTGCCTTTAAACACTGTTTGCTGTCCAAACAGAGTGTAGCAGCTCTGCAATAACAGTCAAGCTTAAGGACCACACACACAGACGAGAACAAACAAATCTACACACTCTAATTTAATATCCATAACAACATAACCTTGAAGGATAAAATGCAGGACTCATTTAAATGCTAATTTGTTTGTTAACATAATATCAAGATTCCGTGCGGGACTGTGTGGAACTAGGCTGTCACTTGATATGTATATTTTATTCAACTTTGTTATTTTTATTGCAACTTTGATTATGATAATTCAAAACACTAAATAAAACATTAATATAAACAGGAAGGAGTTCAGCAATGTCTTTTATATTCAGGTACTTATTGCCGGGAAACCAAAGAGAAGAGGTGTCTCAGAAATAATCTGGGTGATGTCAATATTGGCTCATATTTAGGTATTTATGTATGCTCATGCTTTAGCCGAGTCTTTGATGAGATGGCTGAGGATAAACATCACTAGTTTTATAGGACAGTTGATCAACCTCTGTGACTCTTAAGCTAGGTTTGAGGGTCTGAATAAGTTTTGCGCAACAGAATCTATATTTTATATTGACATTTGTTTGTTTCCTCCCCAATCCCTCCCGGTTTGGTGCAAATATCGGATGGAAAATGTACTAAATGTAGTTGTTAAAGCCATAAGTTCACATATTAGAGGAAATTTACTATTGCAGAGCAAATATGTATCAAAGTAAGTAAGTAAGTAAGTAATCTTTATTTATATACCGCCTTTCACAGACGAGAGTCACAAAGCGGTTTACAATTGTTATTTTTTGGGCACTTGTCCTCTCACTCCACACAGAGATGGGAGCGGGGTCGCCGAACAGGAGGCGCATGCCAGATCTATTGTACATATTTTTAGTAGTAGGGGAAACCGGAGTACCCGGAGGAAACCTACGCAGACACGGGGAGAACATGTAAACTCCACTCAGAAAGGCCCTGGTCCGGCCGGGATTTGAACCCAGGACCTTCTTGCTGAGAGGCGAGAGTGCTATCCACTCAGCCACCGTGCCGCCCAAATCAAACAGCAGATGTACCAAACGGCAGTAAGAGATAGCGTCTATTGGTGTTGTGTCAGAATGTAAAGGGTTGTGTGCTTATCCTAATTTCCAATGGAAACTTTAAAGGTGAGAATTATTATATTTTTCTTTACTAAAAGCTTATAGTTGTCAGTATACATATTCAGTGCTCTGCGGAAGGCCTTTGTCAGGTCACCCTAACCTCCTATGACAGTTTAACATTATTCAAGACAAGCTTGCTATTTCCCTCTCATTCTAAATGGGCACACTTTGGAGAATGCGTATAGTGGCAGAGGGAAAGCTCTCTGTCTCTGATGATCTATTGAGTAAGTGACTTGGACGAGCTGGCTCTTGATGCTTGCCCCACTCCGACGTTACTCACAATATGTCACTGTCTGCTTTAATACACTGAGCCATATGTTGGCCCATGGTTCCTCACTCTGAAGCAGAGACTCTGTCGTTTCACAGAAGCAGAACATTTTCATCATTGTACATTATAGAGGATCATGTGTCATCGCATACAGTGGATGTAGGGGGGCTCCTGACACAAGGGAATTTTCCATGTTCTCTGTGAGGCGTTGAGCAGGACTATGTAGCACATATTGACAGAGTGAGAAATTGCAATCGCGATTATTGAGAGATGTCTTTTAATCAAAGGATTTCAATAATGTGACAGTAACAGTGCGAGGGGTTGAAGAGTGTGAAGAGAGAGTGAAGAGATAAAGTGCACCTGGTTCATTTAATTTAAAATCCATTGCGTTGGTCTATAGAGTAGACCGACAACAACTGGTGACATGTTGGGTAACATGTCACCAGCCTGAAGACCAGGCTTCATTTTCATTTTTGTGTTACATATTCAGGCACGCAGACATACTGCAGAGAACAGATGTTTCTAATGAGGCTGAATAGCAGCAGTATAATGGGAGCAGAGGGGTTAGGTTGTATTTAGGTGCTCAGTGCAGTGGGCGATGGGTTTAGAAGTATTCTGGAGTGTGTATGTGTGTATTTACACATGATGTAGTGAGTTAGAAGAACAAGGGCCCACCCAGGTCAGGAATAGAGGGTTGATTGTTAAGTAAAAGGGGCTAGGACTTTGTAGACTTTGGAATGCTTTGGAGTAATTAGCTCCACTCTAGATCAGGTGTAAACTGCTGTCACACATGACTTTTACTTCGGAAATGTCATGTGTTTATGTATTGTTTTGTATCTTAAATGTTCCTGCATGTTTTGATCTGCTTCCTTTTGGCTAACATTTAAAAGATTTACATTTTTCTCCACTCACCTTTCCATTGTGAAGTTACCAGACTCTAAATCTAAAAGTGGCATCAGGGGACACTGACCAGATTACAAGGTTAATGCTTCATTTTGTCCCAGAGTTGTTGAGAAAAGGAAAGCATGTGACCTGTGCTGGTTTGTGGTTCCATTGAGAACCAGAGTGGCCCCGAAGCCCTAAGCTGTCTGATCCACCTCCACTCACTTGTGTCCAGCCCCAAACTGTTATTGAGCTGTGCCTAAAGGGGCCAGCTGAAATATTGTTTAATGTTTTAGAGCAGAAATCTGGTCCAGATGCACTGACCCTAAAGCCTACACCACGGTCAGGTAAGGGAAATTCACTTTATCGCTATAAAATGATAAGAACACATATGCTTCTAATTGACTTTATAATATTTTCCATTGCTGATCTCTCATGGTTTGTAACGTTTTTTCCTCTCCTTCCTCTTTTTGCCGCTGTGCGTCTGCCTCTGTAACATCTCTCCTGAAGCCAAATATATACATTTTCAAACAGCAGAAAGAAACACATTCTCACTGCTTTTATTTTAACCTGGATTTAATTTCAACCTGGATTTTCAGCCACAAAAGTTTGGCCCTTTTTAGATGGAGACGCTGCAAAGCAATTAGCAAAGCCAATCAGGCTCCCTATTCCAAGTGCACAGCGTTCACCATTTCCTCAACAACATCCTCCTCAGGCCACCGCAAAGATGTGAAAGATGCACCAACATCATTCTGCATTAAACAGCAGCAGCAAACATGGAAACTGAACCTACAGCTTTGCGTGGTCTTGTTTGGACGAACGAGTAGAATTCTCCGTGTAGCACTCAAAGAACACGTAGCATTAGTTGACAAGCCGCCATTGTTGTTTACGTTTGTTCAAGGCTTCTGCGCATGTCCAAATGTGCGTGCGGGGAAGTGGTGAGGTCATAGAAAGCAGAGAATTCACACCTTTTTCTTCACACAGCTGTGAAACAGCCCCTTGCCGCTGTACCTGTTCTGTTCCACTCTGGAGACTGTCTCTCAACGCTAGCGTTTTCACCCCCTGAAACACCCTCTTCATGTAAATGAAAGGCCAATTCGATGCCCAACCACGTTTGTGCATTCGCTCTGGCCAAGAACAAGTTGGCACCTTTGGGGGTGCGCAATGAAGGTCGCATGAGATTGGTCGAAGTAACAACAATCATTTGTGTGAATAAAAGGGATACATTTCACATAATGATACGTTTATCGACATCATTTAAGGATATTGAAATTATGTAGTGCAATACGATAAAAAAAAATGGATACATTTTGCAGCACTATTCATAAGACTCTTCATCTAACCAACATATAAGCAGTTTTTGTGTTTTTGACGTCTTATTCCTACTGACTTCTGACTTACTGTGTATCTGCACTGCTCTTTCATGGACCAATCAGAGCCCTCACCATCTCGGTCCCTGAACAGTATGGGCATCAGATAGTTATATACCAGTTTCTGTAGTTTCTTAAATAAAGGCTTAAAGATTTTTTGAGTTTGTCGTCATTCAAAAAAGTCCAGTCCAAAACCTTTTCTATAACCCAGTTTAGTCCGGATCCAGTCCCTCCTCTAGTCCTGCTCCAGTCCCAGTCCTGGTTCTGGGCTCTGGTTCAGACCTGGCAGATCTTCCCCAGGCCGTCCCCCTTCAGGACTTGGGGCAACAGTAACCCGATGACGATGAGACACAGCAGCAGCAGAGCGGCCATCACCAGACCCAGCAGAGCCATATCCCCAGGACGGTACCCCCCACTGGCCGGGGACAGGAGTGCAACGGCTGCAAATAAGAAAATACTTGTTTGTTCTGCAGGCTTTATATTAGGAGAGGACAAACTGTGTTGATGTCACCCATACACTGCAAAAAAATGCTTGGATGAAGTGGTTTTTATCTTTATTAGAGTACATACTGACTCTTTTAAAACAAGATTTGCCAACGAGACAAAGCCGTTTAGTCTTTGCTTTATTTTCTCACCACAGCAACCAACATTATGTCATCGTAACCACGGCTCTGAAAAGTTTATGTGTGTGCAGATAGCCAAGACAAGGGAATTCACCAAACCCGAGGAAAGTTCGAGGATCAAAGCCCAGATTGACAAAGCAAAGCAGTCGATACAACACTGACAAGATGTGGTGTTTTAGAAGAAGTAAAAAGGAGCTTTACAAAGCCATGGTGGACAATTTGGTTCTTGCAGAAGAATCAAACCAGGCTTTGTTGGCTGAGGTCAAGAAACTGAAGGAGAGGAGTGACCTGGTAAAGGCTCAAGTAGAGGAAACAAGCAGACTGAAGGAGCAGTGACACAGCTGCAAACGGAGAAGTCTGCTCTGGAGAAGGACTTTTTCGAGTCCACCGCTTTCAACCAGCACCAACTTGACTCCATTCTCCAGGAGAAAGCCACCCTTGAACTCTCGCTGCAACAAACCACCGCAGAGCTGCAGACCGTACATCAGACTCTGGATAAGGAGCAACAAGCCTTTTCCACAGAGCTGCAGGCCGTAAAGCAGACTCTGAGGACTTTGGAGAAGCGTGCTGAAGAGGACAGGCGAAGGAAGGACTCCATCATTAAAGGTATGACCACACATCTCTCAAAAGTTGACGATGAAAACATGAACATATTAGAAGTAATGAACTTTTGTCTTCTAGATGCTGAACATTATATTAAGGAGCTGGAGACCAAAATTCAGGACCAGGAGATGCACCTGAAAAAAGGTAATTATGACCTGGAGGAAAAATTGCTCAGGCTTCTGAAAGAGATGGAGGAGATTAGAGAGAACTTTGTCCTGAAAAACTCTGTTATTACAGAAATGGAGGAGGAGATGAGCAAATTGAAGGCTCAGAAGGCCGAAACAGAAAAGCTGAAGGAGCAGGTGACACAGCTGCAGACAGAGAAATCTGCTCTGGAGAAGGACTGTTTGGATTCCACCACTTACATCCAGGACCAACTCAAAACCACCCTCCAGGAGAAAACTAGCCTTCAACTTTCTCTGCAAAAAACCACCGCAGAGTTGCAGACAACAAAGGGTGAGGTGCGGGACCTGAAAGAGGCTTGTGCCAGGTGTGAGGAAAGGAACAAGGAGGTCACCAAATTCTCCAAGATCCTGAAGGAGGAGAACAAGGGCTTGTCCGAAGCAATGGAGTCCGTAAAGCAGACTCTTAAGGAGGAGAAACAAGCCTTGTCCACTGAACTGCAGTCCGTAAAAACGACTCTGAGGACTTTGGAGAAGCGTGCTGAAGATGACGGGCGACGGAAGGACTCCATCCTGAACGGTATGGACACAGATCTATAAAAAGTTGAAGAAGAAAACATGAACACATTTGAAGTAATGAACTCTTGTCTTCTAGATGCTGGCCTTTATATTGACAAGCTGAAGACCAAAATGCAGGACCAGGAGATGCACCTGAGGAAAGGTAATTATGAGTTGGAGGGAAAAACTGCTCAGATGGAGGAGTTTAGAGATAACTTTGTCCTGAACAACTTTGTTTTTGCAGAAATGAGCGGGTGAGCAAATTCCAGGAGATAATGAAAGAGGCCGTCGACAAGAACCTACGCCTGAAACATGAACTGAACTTTCTGAAGAAGAATCCTTCCAAGCAGCAGACCCAGGACCCTCAGGAGGGCCTCGCACCACACTATCCTCAGCAGCAATCATCTGAAATGATTGCTTCGATGGAGGTGCTGGTGGAGAACAGAAGGGCGTGTTCCATCTCTAACCATAACCCATAATTCTTCTCCCGGCCGGGCGCGGACACTCACATGAGGGGATCAGACTCCCCACCGGAGGTGGCCAAAGAATGTGGTGCGGTGCATCCAGAGATGCTATCCTCAACCAGACTCAGAAAGCACATGGCTACTATCAGAATCAGAATCCTTTTTATTGCCATGTGAGTAACAGGAAGTCACAAACTAGGAAATTGCTTTGGCTCAGGCTATTTATACATGTTCTTAAAATGAAAGAGAATGAAATGGACATACTAGCAAACTTCCTCGGCCACGACATTCGTATCCACAGACAACATTACAGACTACCAGAGGGGATGCTGGAGCTGGCCAAAAAAGGTGGATGGTCCAGGAGGCCTGGGTGGTGGAGGGTTACAGCCAGGCTGCTTGGCCCTAAACCTGAAAAAGTATATTTTTAATATCTGTTTTTTCTCTCTCTCTCCAGAGCCTGTAAGAAAGCCATGGTCTGCCTCTGAGGTGAAGACTGTGGAGAAGACCATGATGCCTTTCATACAGACTGGGAAAGTCCCTGGGAAGTCTCACTGCCTGGCCTGCAATAACGCCTCACCAGATGACCTTAGACATTGGACATGGAGTGGCTTTAAATTTTATATAAAAATAGAATCATTGCTTTTTGAAAAAAAAGCTATAATAAAAGCTTCTGATCCTGTAAAAGATTTGTCTGTTTTGTATTGACTGTTTTGTAATGTTTAGTATTAAAATAGTCCCAGTAAAAAAGATCAGTGCAGAGTAACCCTAACCTCAGTAATGGTAAAAATACAGCAAGGTTTTAGGAGTTAAAACCATATCTGTGGGTCCCATATGGTCCCTAAAACGGCCCTGTCAAAACGTGTGTGTGTGTGTGTAACTCACCGCAGCTCCCTCTGCCCGCGGCGGCTCATGGGGCTGGTGCGCTGGACGTGGTTGGAGAAGCTGCTGCAGGTGGAGCAGAACTTGGAGCTGCGTTTGCCCAGAGGCAGCACCTTTCCTCTGGGGGACATGCCCGCCCACCGGCCCTTGGACTCGCCCTCTGTCTGGAAGTCGTCGTTTGTGAACTGAAGAGAGTCTCTGTGAGCGTGGGACTGGGGCCCGGGCCTGCACTGGACACACACAACACACACCCACACAACACCACACAGAGAACACACATCAGACAGTACTTGGCATTTACTGTTAAAGTGCAAGTAGAAAAAAAATGGTTAAACATAAATAAAAGAAGGATCTGGAGCCTGACCCCAAACAGACATATAAAGGTAGCGTATTTTTTTTAACTTATTTTTGCCATGTTAAGCGTTCATGAATATCCTCTTCCCTGCTTTCGCCTTATTACCTTGCATGAACGTGGTTTGAGTTTCTCTCATACACATAACTGCTTTTTAATATCCAGGCATCATAAAATGTCATGCTGACTTAACAGACAAGAGGTGCAGAAGGGGCAATAACACCAGCGTAAGCAGGTGTATGTGTCTGTGTGTGGGAGGGGGGTGGGGCTGGGTGACTATGATTATTAGTCTTAAGGGGGGGTTTGGTTCAAGAAATTTTGATCAATTTCTACGGTTTCTATTGCTATTCCATGTAAAAATAAAATGAAACATGCTTCTTTACATTTGTTATACAAAATGTAACTCTCAATCTTTTGAAAAAATCTAGCAGTTGAGAGAAAAACAGATGCCGTTCTGTGTACAGCTTTCATTTCCATTGTTTTCATTTCAAATATTACAGTGGCTAAAGCTGTACATTGGTTCCAACTTTGACATCCATGATTGTCTTGTTTAAAACAGGACTAAGGCTTGGAGATCTTGGATTCCTGTTGGCTGTTGGCCTTGGATTGTGTCTACTTTAGTGGACCTTTATTAATATTTCACTGGGCAGTTGTGATGGATAGATTGTATTTATTCACTGCTGGGCGTCTGTTATGTGAATATGACTCATTTTGGGGCATTACATATTCATGGCTGGGGATATGCTGTATACAGGAAGTTATAATTAATGTGTCACAGAAGGGGGTGTTGGGAGACAGCAGGTTTACTGGAGGACGTTGGGGCATAATGTGATTTACAGTACAAACAACTGGGAGGATGTTTGTCTGCTGTCCAAAAACTGAAAGGTATGTTCTAATGGGTTCTAATGGTTTGAACTTAAAGGGGATATTAAGAAGGTATCCATTAATTCCTTGTGATAAACTGATAGTACAAGTGATGTGCCGCACATGAAGTCCAAAAGTTGAAGGTCTTGGGTTCGAATCCCAGTCGGAACAGGCGCTTTCTGAGTGGAGTTTACATGTGCGTATAAACCAGTGAACGGAATGTGTTGGTTGGGGGCTTTGATGTCATCGCCGTGTGAGGAGAGAATGGAAAAATATCTGAACTCTGAACATTGTAAATCGCTTCGGGTGACCTTGGTCTGTAATAATGTGCTACATAAATAAAGATTACTTACTTACTTGCAATTTAGAGAGAACTGGAGGGTATTTTAGGGATATTTAGAGTCTCCCCGTTTTCCTCTATGGTGTAAAAAAAGGTTTGTAAAAAGAAAGATAAATCATAAATCACGAAAGGCCACAATAGTTTAGTTTGTTTCTCTGTATTCCGATTGGTTCCATAGTCGAGGTGCATAGATACCATCACTGACAACACTGAAAAAGAAAGTAAATCAATTCATAGATGTTGACTATTTTTTTTCTCTTCCATCTAAAAAGAATGTGTGAGTATCTTTTTTATATTCAGTCGTTGTTTATCGTATATTTTTGTTGCCTTATGTTTTCTTACATCATAATCTTCTAGCATACCTGGTTCAGCCACCCTGCACTATGTTGGGGGTCAGAGCCTGGTGTAATAACAAGCTGTAAGTGCATGTTTTCACTGTTTTTGGCTCTGACCATTTCCAGGTGCTTGACCTGATTTCTCTGCTGTGTAGGTGGTCTCCAAGAGATAGGAGACCTTTTATCAAGCCAAGCACTGCAGTGCACTGCCGTGATACTGTGTGCACTATAGGGAGCTTTTCTTCAGACATGTTTAGAGAGGTACTGGTGACTGGTAGATGCTGTTGTTTTTTTCCCCCCAACATTATATAATATTTTAATACAGTATAGACATGATAATATGATGTAGTCATTGACATAGAAGATGATTGCGTAGTGGCACAGCCTTTTGCTCTTGTGCTTCACAGCAAGGAGGTCCTGCGTTCTATTTTACCTTCCTTTGTGTGTGGAGTTTGCATGTTCTCCCCATGCCTTCAAAGGCTTCCACTGGGTGCTCCAGTTTTCCATACCACTAAGAACATGTACAATAATCGCCCATAACACCATCGCCAACCACACTCCCGCCGCCTGACTGGCGCCGGGACTCCCCTGAAAAAGAGATTTTCAACGGGTCTCAACGGGACTTTCCCGGTTAAATAAAACTAAAAGGTCAATAAACTTTATTTGAAACTGTAAATGATAATTTGTGCATGAGCCTCTAAGTATTGTTTTATATTTTTTACAATAGATTTGTAAAACCTGTCCCCTTTATTGCCCTTTTTTTTTTAAATGTGTACGAAAATGTTGTATTTCTCTAACCACAATCTTCAACAGTTTTGTTAATCACAGTCACTAATCGAGTTTGATTGCACTAAAATATATCAGAGGAAGTCGAAAGACTTTCACACACATTAGTATGCCAATGTTTTTGCAAATGAACTCCTCCTTGAAGTGTACTTACATACAGGTGCAAAACCTTCATTTGGCCAGAAAAAAACAAATCAATGAATCGCAAACTCACTGCCTGCTTTGTGTCACTGAACGGGGGACCGTAAAACTGTGAACGGTGCACAGTAATACGAGAAAGGAGTTCTCACTGTGTTCAGTAAAGTTAACAAGATTGCTCTTTGCATTTGAAAAGAACTATAGATTCTTTAATTGATTCAAGTGCATGAGAAACTGGCTTTTGCCTTCTCTCATTGCAAAGGTCAAAAAATCTATCAATCAAATCTTTGGCACTTGCATCTGATATCCGTAAATCTTCATTTTCAACAGATACAACACAAGATATTTTTTAAATTTGCATCTGATCTTCCTGCTTCCTTGCTTCTCGTGTCATTGGTCATGCTTTGTTCTCTTTATCATAAATGCTGTATCATCTGTAGTTTCACAATCGTTAATCATGGCCGATTTTGAGTATTTCTTTGTCGGAGGGGAAAGGTTAGTGTGTCTCATTGGCGGGGCCACAGAACAGGCCTGGAGTGGTTGATGCAGGCAATAGGATTAATTGGGCTGAGTTACAGAGAATCAGCAAGTTTGACTGCTTTTCACATGCTGCTCCTCCATATGGCAGCAGATATGTCACAGCCCATGATTAATAGTTCATGTGGAAATCTTTCAGGTTCTGGCAATAATAACTCTCACAACATGTCGTGTTGTTTAAACTTTTCACTGAAGCAAATGCAAATCAAGTGATTGTCGGTGCTTCAGTTTAGCACCACTCATAATTTGACCTCTTAAGCAAATATGCAAAACCTTTATTTATGAGAGAAACATGCAAGCGGCATTTGCAGTATCGACAAGGCCATGGCAGTCTAAGATGTTCCAAGAAAAGTGGCCTTGAATCCAACTTATCTCCTCACGCCTCTATTTTTAGTCCATAAAACAAAATTTAGCCTCATTAGCTTCGATGTTTATCATATTTTGGTCTAAAAGTGTGTTTCAGTGGAAAAGGGGCTGCAAATTGCCCTAGGTCTTATTTGTCTCGGTGGGCTTGTGGAGGCGTTAGTGTTGTGGTCAGCACTCCTTAGATACTTTGAATTGCAAATGGCCTCTGTAACTCAAAAGTAATGCGGCAGAGAACGTCACCCCCTGTCATTTTTCAGCATTTGTGTGCACGGGGGCACCAGTGGAGAAGAGGTGCCGTTATTGTTTCTGTCTTAAGTTTGACTATTCTTTATTGTAAGACGGACTAGGGCCTGCTCCCTCAACCTCTACGCCGCTAATGTGCCACCGGAGCCCCATTGCCATAAAAATGTCCTGGTCCACTTCAAATCGAAATGACAAGAAATTTGGGAAGAAAAAAACGTCTTTCTGCTATTCTTTTAGTTATAGAGTTACAATCTGGAGGGCTTCCATCGCTCTTCTGACATATGTTATTTTCTTTTTAATTTTATGTTTATGATTCCCGGAATCAAAGGATGTTATGCATTTGTAGAAGTCGCAATGACAAGATGAAGTCCCAAGGACACAATGCATTTGTTTTTCTGTCATCTTTGAAATGTATATGGAATTATCAGGAACCGGATTATCATGTAGGTTATTATCACACCTCGCTTCACTGCTGATGTGATTAGGACCTGGTTGTATAGAAATCAAAGAGAAAACAGAACCACAACAAAGATTAAAAATACATATAGATTATCGGACTTGTTTAGTCTGATGTTCAATCATAAAATAAATTGTTTTGTTGGTTTTACTGACGGAACTGGCTCTCGATATTGAGAAAAGAAACCATGGAGGGGTCAATACAAAGCCCCTCTCTGTGAGTCACTCTAATTAATTCAATGTCTTTTTTCTCATTGCCCCAAGCCCATTATGACTTTGAGTTGAGCCCAATTGATGTAAGTAGAAAATACTGAATCACACTTTTGGTCTTGCTACATTTAATAAAAACTTCAATAAATGTGTTCAGAGAGTGTCCAACCCAAAAGACAGGGTCCTTTGTATTTTGGATGTGGTCTAATCCGTTTAATTATGCAGAAGGGAATTAAAACAGTGGTTGGGTGTTTGAATGTGTAATCTTCTGTATGTGCATAAACATGAACACATTTCATCAGCAGGGTTGGACTAAGACTTGTGGATAATTACCTGGGGCAGGGAGTGTTGCGATAGACACTGTGCCCCCCTTTTCTCTGCATTTAATACATGCAAATTTAAAATCACAAGGGCCGGATATGTGGAATTACTTCAAAAGCTGAAAGTAGGTATCCATGATATTTTTATTTTTTGCATCTGTAAATTCTATCCTTAGTTCAGGGGTTTATGGTTGGTGAGCTTTCTGTGCTTTTCCCAATATAAGACTGTCCTTATTGGTTACTCATTGGAGAATTACAGAATTCTTTCCTGATTAGAAGTTAATGAAGTTGAGATAATTGTGGCACTTTACACCTAAATGTACTTGATAAAAGGCATCAGTTACTCGAGCACTCGAGGTGCTTAGAGTTACAGCAGAAATGTGCCTTGTTTGCAGATCATACAATGAGAATTTTGCTCCACTGGGTGGAAAAAACACGTCAGGCACCAAATCATTTTACCCTCAGTAAGGTTTAGTTCTGGTTCATTTAGATTCATGAAGATGAATTGAGTTAATATTTGATAAATTAAAATTGATTTTTTTCTTTTTACATTACTTTTTGTCATGGCGGACAGAACTATATTAAAAAGACTGCTATAAATAAAACTATGAAATGTATACATGACTTTGTAGTAAAAGTGTTCATATTAGTTCAATTCGCCAGAACTACTCTAAGAATCATTTCATTCATTCATTAATTCTGACACACCGTCTTCTCTGTCCAGGGGCTTTGGGATGTTTTATGTCCTCTCAAAGGGAGCTTGGCTTGTTTGAAAGAAGAAGCGATGCATAACGGTAATGTTGAGTGTGTTTTATTTGTAAAAGTCGGGAAATCTTGCTGACTGAAGTACAGAGGATGGGTGAGCAACCTTCTTCTGTTTAATCACTGTACTATTGGGACATACATTATTTATTTGTCTCAATCAATATGATATAAACTGCATGGTGGCAACTGGAAAGATATTCCAGTTACAACCATGCAAAATATCATATTTCGTAATCCAGTAGTTTAAACCTTTAAAACATTCCTAATTGTGAACATGTTCAATGCTTATTTTTTAACATAATTTTTAATCCTGCATGAGAATTTTTAGTAGTTACACCAGAAAAACACGCTAGGATCCATTTTGTATTGACTAACTTTCAGTCACTAGAAGCGCTTCATATTGGATATCAGCATGAAATCCAGAGTAATTAGTAAGTATCGGTATCAAACTTTAAAACACTGGATCTGTGCCTTACTAGTCCTGTATAAATGTTACAGATTTCTTCATATAAACTTGTTCTGCAATGCTTGTCATAAAAACTGCAGAATGTGTGACTATGTGTCCACTAACACAGCGCATGATAAAAAGCCAGAGTGTTCTTTCTGTAGGGCAGTCATCAGAAAGCAAACTTTGCGAGTACTTGAGTGTGTTGTTATTGTTTGACCTGTAGTTCTGTGTGCGTTCTTTTTGACCTGTGTGTTGTGCTGAGGTGTTAAGAGTTAGACACCTGTGAGTCCTCTGTCCTCATCGCTGGAATACTGGGAGATTTATGACCTATTGATACACCCCTCGCCCAGCCCACAGCCCCAAAGACACCCACAGTACATTGTTGACTCATGAGTTGCACCTACTCCAGCCCATGAATCATTCTCGCTAAAGGAAGATTTTCTCCTGTCTCCCTTTACTGTAATTTTATTTCATTTGAAGCAGAGGGCAAAGAAAGTGGGTTTCATGGTTCCAAACTTTTCAAAAATAACCACATGGAAACGGCTGTAAAGTGTAGACAGCATTTTAAACAATGTGAACAAGGAAAAGGTAAATTCATTGAGTCTGCTTGAGTCCGTTTACGCTAATGGCTGCATATTTATCCATCCAGACTCTATTTATAAAACCTAATGGGTGCTTTATCTCACACTGCACTGTATTTTGTTTCTGTGTATGTATTTTCTTTGTGTGACGCGACACAAAAGGAATAGTGACAGA